GATTTACAACTGCGATCTGAAGTAAGATAGATTATTTATTTAATTAGATTTTATTTATTGTCAGTGTTAAAAGACACGAATTATATTCGTGCACCTATAGAAACATCAATCATCAATACACCTAATGTGTTTATTATTGAATCTACATGTAAACAGCATTTAAAAAAAAAATAATTAATTATATCAAAGTGTAATTCATATACACAGCAGATAATTAAAGTACAGAAAGCCGACAAATCAACAGTTACAACAGAGTTAAAACAAACATTTTAAAATTGTAATTTATTAATTTATATCAATCAATTTTTTCACTTTTTATTAAGTTTTTGAAAATTATTCCGCTACCTCTACTGATACAAAGTTTCCCAATTGAACTGTTACCAACTTCAAAATGCTATAGCTTTGGAACTGGTGGCAACACTGATTACATATTTATTTTAATTATAATTATTAATATCCCTTACAGACAAAAAAATATAAACTTAACAATGGAATAGCACTATATTTGGGCGATAAGCCTTAAGCTATTGTTATATTCCCCACACAGAACACAACTACAAAATACACCGTTTTAACAAACTTCATATGTGACAGAAATCTTTTAGCAAGTTAAAGCTCAAATTAAATGAAATCAGCATCACACCGAAACATACTAGGCTACACAACTAGATACATCGATAATTATCAAGCAACGGAAACTGAAAAACGAGCTGTAAGTAAAGACTTATTACTTCCAAGAACGAGATTTCATGGATTTCCATAAGAAAAACCAGGTTCCATATACCAAAGAAGTTATTACGCTTATACGAACACAGCCAAGTACACAATGTTTTCTTCTCTGTAAAAATTATACCAATTAAGCATTTCGCAATCAAAAAAAAAATAATTTAATTCACTTAATAGAGAGCTTAGTTACGTTAACTTGGAATGGCGACCCAAAAGCCCACTTCAGCTTAAATAATGGGCCGTTATTATACCACGAATTAGCGTGGTATGGTCTCATACGCAGACCAGAAGGATTCCCAAAAGAACTGCAGTAATCAACAAAGCTGATTTTATAGAGAAGACCTCTTAGAGCCATATCACTAATGACAGTAATATGGAGAATTCAAAACGAATTCCAATTTACTTGGGAATCAGCGTCATAAACCAATAATGAAGTCAACAAATCCCTCTTGCTAACAAATGTTACTTCAGTCTAATAGGCAATTGGGATATAAATCCCTCTATGTTATAATCTACAAGTTTCTTATCGTGTTTGTCTCACTGTACAGTGCAGAAATTAAGACATTAACCAACCGTGAAGAGATTAGGAGCATTCGAGAAAAAAAATTCTTTGGAAGATCTATGGTGCCGCATTATACCGCCGTATTGGCATAGTTAAGGGCATAAAACTTCAGTGATTTAGTTGTCGTGTGAATGTAAGAAAGTTCTCCGGCTAGAAAGGTATTTAAATCGGTACCCCATGGAAGTAACAGGTGACTAACGATATGAAGGTATTCGGTACTATCAACTGACGCCAGCAAAACATTGATCGGCATGGGTGGCGAAGAGTAATAAACACGGCCAAGGACGAATAACGCCTGTAATGCCCAACTAAGTAAGTAAATAAGTTTACCAGGCCTAACCTTCTTCTCATAAGACATCCCAAAAAAGAATCCTCTCTACTGAGCAACAACCACCGGAAATGCTTATATAATTTATAAATTTCCCAAACATCATGATAAACTTTATATACCTTTTAGAAACACAAATAAAGGGTATCGTGAATAAAAAAAAAATTCAAATACGTTTAATTTCAAGAAGAAACAAGAAAATTACTAAATGCAGCAATAAAATTTAACAGTAGCAAAAGCAGAAACAAATTAAGCGGCAACGCTTGCAACAGAAACGTTTTCGATAATGAAGGCAATTGAAATATCAGCAGTGGCAGCGCTAGTTGACGTTGATCAACTAAAGACAATGGCACGGCTGCAAACGTTCAAATATATTTTCCAGCTTGAGAACTTAAAAAAAAAAATATACAAACAAAAAAAAAAACAACATCGAAGCAGCTGTGCGGTATAAAATTAACACAAAAACAAATATCACAGAGGAAAACCAACTAAAACGGCAACAACAAAAGCAAATAACAACAATAATAACAATCAGAAGTAGCAGAAGAATTGTGCTTGCATAAAAAGCAACAGAAAAAAAAACACAAGCAGTGCTCAATTACACAGTGTAGCTGTGGCAACAGTGTTTACTGCATAACACATGTGAAAACATTTTGGATTTAAAACTACAATAAGCAATATGTCAAAGAACTGCAGCATGTGGAATATAGGGTGCAAGCAAGCAAGCAAGCAAGCAAACCAAGCAAAACAAGCAGGGCCTTTGCGTTACCATAGTGCTAAATAGCGACACATATGCACGCAGTAGCTAATAAATTCTGAAACACTTGAAACAGTAGACGAAGGTAGCATGCCAGCTAGTTGCTTGTCCAACAAGTGTAAGATTGGTATAAAAGCATATAAAATGTTTTGCTATTTTTAAAGTGCACTCTTTTGTTGTTATTGTTATTCTCTTTATTGTTGGTATTGATATTCTTGTTGTTCTTATTAGCACACAACACAAACTGCAAAAAAGCTCTGCAGCAGCAGCAAGTGAATCAGGCTTCATAATGAATGCATTGTCTTTTAATATCGAAAGTAATGTGTGTCCGTCAATGCCAACCACTTGTTGTTTTTGTCTTCGTCTTTGTCTTTGTATTGGTGTTTGTGTTTGGTAATTGTAGTTGTTGCTATTGCTATTTTATGTTGGCCTAAAGTTATGATTATTATGTTTGTTTTGTAGTTGTTATTGTAGTCATTGTTGCTGCTGCCGTTGCTGCTATTATTGATGTTTTTGTTTTTTTTTCTTAGTTTCTGTTTTTGTTATTTGTAACCGCCAAGTCAGGCAAATTGTAATTGTTTAGAAAAAATAATTCTTGAGGCTGCCAGTTAAACCATTTCTTATTCAGTTCTTTTTTATACTTTTTGGTTTTTATATTTTTCTTTGACTTGTTTTTTTTGTTTTTTTTTTAAAGCTTTTGGAATTAGCGTTAGTCTTCTACTTGTTGTTGTTGCTTAGCTGTGTTAGCTTGACATTGTTGGTATAAGATGGATTTTGTAATTCAATATATAAGAAGCTGAATTATGACTAATGCAGGCAGCAAGCAAAGAAACTGACAATGAAAATATTGTCAAGTCAAAACACTTGACAAACGAAATCCTAAAAAAATTAAAGTAAATAGTAGGAAATTTATTAAAAGTACAATATGTATCAAGAACAATTTTAAGTGGTGAGAGCATCAAGTATAAAGGTTTCGCATTTGGAGAATAGTCAGCAAGTTAAAAATATACACATATATAATTTTTTTATAACAAATAATATAATTAATTATTATAATTTAATATGTAATTAATTATAATTAATATATAATAAATATAATTTAATTAATTAATTAAAATTCAATTGTTAAAATTAGTTACCACAGTAGGAGCTCACAAATTAGAACTCTCACAAATTCGAATTGTCCAGAAATTAGAACCAAAAAATTTTAATACATTGTATACATCAAAAGCTCTAAAATTAGAACTTTTGGTTCTAATTTTTGATCGAGTTCTCCTTACTTTTTTTTTAAGTTTTATAAAGCGGGGAATTCCCAAAATGCGCACTTAAATAAAACGCATTCAAAAATGCAAGTTCAAAACGAATCTGAATATGAGTTTCATTGAAGATGACGTTCCCAATCCCACACCAAATGTGTCTCATTCTAAAGAGATTGAATGCATCATTATCTTAATAAATTGGTGCAAAAAGAATAACTCATTTCATGCAGATCACATGACCAATCTTTTAACTCTCCGTAATGATATTATTGTAAAAAATTTGACTAAATTTAAAAAACATTTTATAGAAAAACACTTAATAAGGATTGATTTCAACTGTAAAATAAAGTGTTTATGTAGAGTGTTAATTTTTTGTTAATTTTTTATAGAAATAAAAAATGTTCAGAAATTAGAACTTTTCGCAAATTCGAACTACCCGAAAAACCAAGTTGTTATGATTTGTGAGCTTCTACTGTAATATTTAAAAAAAAAATATTTTTTTACGTTTTTGTTTTTTATTATTTCATATTTTATTATTTTTGTTAAAACTAATTTTTTTTATACTACTAAATTAAAATTAAAAAATACTAAAATTAAAATATTAAAATTAAATATATAAAACAAAAAAAAAATACTAAATTATTTTCTCAGTTAACTTTGATATTTAATTCAAAAATTAAAACGAAATTACATATTAATATTGACCATAAGTTATGTTTCATTCAAAAAATAACGAGCATGATATATACATATATTCGGACTACGCATATGAAATTTAAGTGATTATAATTCATTTTATTAAAAAAAGTATTGAACAACTAGAAAAAATACATACTAAAAAGCGAAAACCGATTTTGCAATGAATTTTGCTGTTTTGTCACTCAATGTCCTTCACTAAAATTCGCTATATCAATAAGAATTCTACAGCAACAGATGATCTCAACTCAACTTAAATGTATAAATGACAAGAGCAATAAGAAGAAGAACAGCAAAAAAACTACCGGCTACTGCGGGACGTGTAAAAATATTATGGTAAATTTCCAAAAAAAGTAATAAGTATCAATGCAATTATAAATTTTTGAAGTAAATCTGACAAAACAAAAAAATAAATTTTATTTGTATTGTATACAGGACGTTTACTAACAAAATCACATAAATTAAGAAGATGCTTGCTTGGTCTAAGAAACGAAAATAATCGAATGGGAAGTCTGGTATATTTTCAATATTCATATTCCGAGATAGATGTTGTCAAAAAACAATATTATCTATGAAATTTAAATATTAAAGAATATTTATTTGAAATTATACATATTGTAATATTTTAAATTTTATTCGAATTAAATTTATTTATACTCGACTTCGACTTACCTTTTGCGGCTCCCATTAAATCTTTAACTTCCTTTATGATGCGTTTAATTTGATGACTAGTGTGATCTAGTTCCTTTTCGTGACGGTTTAAATTATCACGAAATTCTGGACTATCAACAATGCACTCTTCGAACTCTAAGGGTTCGAGACCGCGACGTTCAACCTTTGTGCCGCCCATCCTTATGCGGCTCTTGATTTGCTTTCTGATATTTCCCTTGCTGCTGTTGCTATTGTATTTGAACGAGTGAGGATGAGGATTATTATTATTCAAGGCAATGCTACTGTTGTAATTGTTGTTCATATAAAGTTTATTCAATGTTTTGCTCACTTTGTTGCTGTTTATGTTTTTGTTGTATTGTTTTGATTTGAAGTAATTTAAATTATTATTATTAATTTTTTCATCATTATTGTTAGTGTTGTTGGTGTATTTCGCATGATTATTCTTCATAATTTAAAGAAGGATTTTTCGATAGGAAATAAAAACTTTTTTTAATTTTTATGTGTAATAGAATTTACGAAATTAATTTTGCACATATGTACAACAAATTTAAAAAACCAAAAATTTTATTATTTATCAAAAATAAATTTGTTTAAATATAAATAAATTTCATTTTTTTCAAAAACTTTTTTTTTATTATTAAATATTATTAAATATTCTTAGACTAACAAAAAATTCAAAGCAAATTGGACAATTTGGTTGGCACTTGATGAAATTTTTTATAGTTTCTTTTACTTCTTCGTGGACGTGATTTTGTTTATTTGGTTTAACTGCAGCAATAGCAAGTCAAAAAAAAAAAAAATTCCTTTGGAATTTCCTTTTTGTTAAATAAAACAAAAAAAATAAAAACAACAAAACAAAAAAAGATGGAACTTGTTTTTCGGTTTGTTTTGCTTAGTAAGATTTTAACCGCACATTCTTGTTAGATTTTTTTTCAAATTTTTTTTATTTTTATTATGTTTTTTTTTTGTTATGTTCAGTTTTGTGCCACTCGCATTTTTGCTTACTTTTCACTCTCTTTAGTTAGCTTACAACATACAATATAAGCGATCATGCTATTCCACTCACACTACCGGAACGTCGTTGCGCATTCGCAATTATGGAATTTTTCAACTGGCGTTTCACACCATTTTTGAATTTATTTTAGCCAATTTCACACTTTTTTAAGTACAAAAAAAATGATATGCAAATATAAAACTGAAATAAAAAAAGCGACACAAATTTCTGATTAATAAAACTTAAAACAATTCTAAAACTAAATGAAAATTAATTAAAACATTTTTACAACACAAAGCATTTAAGAACTTTTGTACACTTTTGCCACTATTTACATCTCATATATTTTTGCAACTCAAATATATTAAATTATCTAAACACAAATTTAATAATTTAAGATAAAACACTAAACACGAATTCATTAGACGGCGTATTGGAATTTATCTGGACTTTATAGGGAGAGAAAACCAAAAATATGTGCAATTTTTATTGCCTTTTTTGTTACTTGTTACTTTTATTGTTGTTGTTGTTGCTGCTGTAATGAAAAATAAATAGTGCAAAAGAGATACACACACACTTTTTAAAGGTGATCTTGGTATTAAAATGATCTTAAGCTCGGGCGTAAGAAAGTGATGCAGAATATAACATTTTTCGTGACATTTTGTGATAAGCAAGCAAATGAAGAAAAACGACATAAGCGAAATTGTTAAAAAACTGGAATTTATTCAAAAAACAAAAAAACAATATAAAAAATGATTTAAGGCAATTATAAAAAATATGCCAGAGTTATTAAAAGGGAGTGATTACTTTACAAGAAACGAATTTCGCAAATTCTTTTATGCACTACTTATCACTAAATTTTTGCAAACATTTAAAAATTAAACTATCTTTTTATTATAAACTCTTGATATAAAATATATATTTTTTACATTTCTTTAACTGTTTTATTTAAAACCTTTTAAAATAGTAAAAATTGTTTTATTCTATTACCCTCTCAGCTAGCTCGTCATCAACATATTTGTTTACAAATTGTTGCTGGAGCTACCGTAATAGGCAAATTATATATTTTTCCACTAATAGTTTTATTTCAATCAGTATTTCTGCTTTGTTTTGTTCGTTTTTAAATATATTTGCAAGCAATTAATACATTTTCTACTTATGTTAACCGCTCGAATTATTTTACTATCACAACACTTGAGAAAATACCGGCGCGCAACAAACTACCGCCACCAACTGAACCAACAAGCGGAATGACAACAAAGAAACTGAAGTTGTTTGTGTTGTGTATTGGTATTTTGTTGTTAGAGTTACCGCAACACACGGTAACATTTAGTTCAATATTTAAATATGAACACAATTATATTATATATAAGAGTAAAAGAACATAGCTTTGAATCTATTTATTTTTACATAAAAACTATATATTACAAAATAGTTAATAAAAGAATTAATACCTTTTTACTCTATAGTTCAAATATTTGTATGACTGTAACGTATTTTCAACAAATGTAAATTTAAACACAAAATTGGCAATGATTCAAGCTCAGGAATTACACAATATTATTGCAGCGAAGGGTGTTTTGAATGTTTTCTCTCAATTTTGCGATGCTCTCAGTAAAACAGTGTTGTAAAACATAAAAATTTCAAATGCCTTAGAAAATTATTCACATAGCTAATAGAATTGTGAATTACATATACATACATATACAAATAGTTTTTAATATTAATTTATAAGACAAAATTATATGAAATCAACACTAATTTAATATAGAACTTCAAGAAAATACAATTATTATTTTTTTGATAATAATAATTTTAACAATAATAGTTTAAGATTAAAATGTCCAATGATAGAGATCCAAATTGTGGGTTTAGTATATATAAAATTTATATGTAATACTTTATAAGTACTATACATTAACTAGTGTTATAATAATAATAATACCATTCTTGTTTTCTGTCTTAATAAGAGAGATCTTTCCTTAATATAAAAGGATAAAAACAGAAAACCAAATTTTTTTTTATAGATATCACCAAGCAGTATCAATTATATTTTAAATAAAAAATAATTAAGTTCTTATACACTATTTCCTACTTAAGGATGAAATAGACAGCAACCTTCATACTAACTTTGCCATAAATAAATCACTAGCAGTATTCTGAAATTTTTTTAACCAATTTTTTTATATTTTTATGTGAGATATAGCGGAAAGATTTATTTAATTGCTTATAATAAAAAGTAAGGGTTTCAAAACCAAATTTTCCAATTTTCAAAAGGTTGCATTTCATTTCAACCTTAAGATCAATTTTATACCCTATTATAATGTGAAATAATTCACTAAATTCCGTTTTTCAATATACATATATTAAAGTAAAACTTATCTCATATATTTAGTTACAGACAGAATTGGTTTGGGTAACTTTGGGTTTGAATGACTATTTTTCCTATTTTCGTCATTATTTTATTAGTTTTATATAGTAACAAGCATTTAAATTATCTCAAACCCTTGAAGTTTGAAGACGTGTATTGATCCAAGTATAGTCGAGATATTATCACCTATGTGCTATTAAGTTATTGATCATGATCTCAAAGGATTCACTACTGTGCGATATTCCGTAAAGAATATTTAAATGACATTATATTTGACATGTAATGGTAAGGAGCAGACTATATATTGATAGCAAAAGTTTTATTGGAAATCTCAAACACAAATATGTTTTATATAAGTTAATTTTGGAAACAGAAAATAAGTAATACTGTTTAATGGAAAAATAGAATATTAAAACAATAAAATATTAACATTAAAATCCCAAATGTATCATAATCTTCCCATGTAAGATCTCAGGTTAAAGGTGGAAGATTTAAGTAAGCTCGCTATATAGAAACTTAACTAACAGTTAGACTGTATCAGATAGTTGTTGTTACTTATACTGAAGTTAAATAATTTAAT